TGCCAGTGTAGACACAGCCTACTAGAAATCCATAGCCATAGCCAGAACACATTCTAAATATTACTATGATATTAAGATTAAAGCTGTAAATGTGCCTCAATCTAGCCTCTATTTTTAGGTCATAATCGATTAGCATTTTAGGCTTTTTAAAATTCATTTACATGCATCTTTGACTTGGGACATAAAAACCAGTGTTTGCATTACAGTAATGTCCAGAGATCCCAATGGAGACTGAAGCCAGTCGGTTTAAGCATTGTACCGATACTCTTCCCCTAAACAAGGGGACACTGAATTGAGACTTCTTTATAAACATGTCTACTTGAATAAATGTGGCAATGTATACTGTATGCTGATTTCATTTTTAACAAGCTTCAAGAACTCAGAGTGAATATTGATGTCCATCTCAGTCAATATTTATCTCCTGTATTAGTTAACTACATGTTCACTTACCTGCTAAATATCTCAGAAAGTGTGTACAAAGCATCTTCAATTATGAAGCATACAGAAGGTACCATCTGGAGAATTTGCAATATTAGCAATCCAATACCAACTTTCAATCTTATTTCACACTTAAAAATGGTTAAATCTGATTTGGAGCACACCATTCACACAGCCCTCAGAACACCATATAATTGAGACACAAATTCCTTTACTGGTAGGGGAACATGGAAAGTCTTAGTAGTAGCTGGTAAAGTGCACAAGATGTCTGAAAGGCAGCATATTCCAGGATAAAAGAGAACAGATTCAAGAGAGCTCCAATTTTTAAGTTTTGGAACATGCAAATATTCCTATTTGTGATGTAATATTGCTGAAAACATCTGACATTCTTTTGAAGTTACAGCTAAATGAAATGGACTAGAAGAGATGTATTTGTTACAAACAGAGCTGGGTAAAGTGTTTATTACAAAATCTGAAATCCTTTCTAAAAACTCACCTGGCTTTATATTTCATTGCAAACTCCACAGTGAAAGAAAGCTTTGTGGAAAGGTTTGCTGATTCTAACTAATCTTTCTGGAGCATGCAGGACAAGTCTTACAATTCTGAGCCAAAAGCATGTCAAATTGACAACTTCACCTCAGTTTTGCTTTGAGATTGTACTTCTGCTGGAACCTGAAATTTTAAGGAAATCTGAGACAATGTAAACCACATGACAGAAACCAAAGGAAAAGTTTGCTGCGTGTCTCAGTTCTGATTACATTGTTTGTACAGGACACCAGTGAAAAAGCTAGCACTCTGAATGTTGTAGAAAGTCATTTTCCTAGCTCTTGGTGATGATCAAAATATTCAAATTCTGGTTATTTGAATCAGGGTTGCACTGTATTCCACAGGGTTCAAAGATTAGCAAGAGTCAGCAGACTGAGAATGTTGGTCCATTCTTGCACAACCAATCTGCTGACTTGAGTGACTGAGGCCTTGCCTAGTAAAATCGATCTAATCTGCTCTTAAAACCTCACAAAACAAGGATTTAACCATCTCCCTTGGAAAGACTATTCCCGTGCTTAAAGTTACTTAACTAACCTAAATCTCCCTTACTGTAGATCAAGCCCATTACTTCCTGTCCTACCTTCAGTTGGCATGAAGAACAATTGTTCACCATCCTCTTTTATAACAACCTTTCACATATTCAAAGACTTATCAGTTCTCTCAAGCCCTTCACTCAGTTTTTTTTCCTCAAGATAAAGCATATCCAGCTTTTTAACCTTTCCCCATATATCAGGTTTTCTAAATCTTTTATCACTTTTCTTGCTCTCCTCTGGATTTCAATTTGTCCACATCTTTCTTAAAATGTGATGGCCCAAACTGGATATAGTGCTTTCAGAGCGGTCTCTCTAGTGCCAAGTAGAGCACAACAAAATTATCTCTTGTACCTTATAAGACACTGCTGTTAATACTGTAAACAAAAATGAATGACAGTGCAACAGGAAAACATTTCATTAATAATTTGGGGCTTTTAGTAGGTGATCTAAGTACATGTTATTGATGAGTGTGTATTTCTAAATCCACACAGCATAGCTATTCTTCACTTATTTTAAAAGAAACTGAATGCCTGCTCTATCCAATGGCAATTTAGTTGATTAAAATTCTTGACAAGGTTCACAACTGCTAAAAGAATGCAGGGGGTATGTCAGAAGCCAACTAAAGCAAACAGAATTACAGGGGGGGGAAAACAATTACAAAAGTTAAGTGAAGATCAAGCACAATTAAATTTTGTCCCCTGCTCTGCGGGATAGTGGGACCTGGGAATGTTGTAGAATGAGCCAGTTAAGCCTCAGAAGGGCAGGAGAATCACTTCTTATTCAGCACTCAGACCCTCACTTTTCATTGCTGGAGCTGGCAGTGCTGCAAAGATAGCAGACAGCCTCAAGAAAAGAAAGGGGCGAGGAAAAGTTTGCATCAGGGTGTTGCACAGATTTAAGTAGAATAGGTAGTTGACTTAGGATTTATCCACAACAGATATTACCCTAAGTCAGTTTCACTTCCAGATTTTTTGCATTATTAAATCTAAAAACTCTTCACTGGACTTTACAAAGCCCAGTTTTACATTCGTCTTGGGTTTTACAAAAACTTGTTTTTACTACATTTTGAGCCTAATTTAAGTTCTCTATCAAGATATCACCACATATCAAACTGGCTAACAGTCACTGTCCCTTTAAATACTGCACTTGCAATTTCTTTATTTTACATACAGTTGGTGTCAAATACTTATTTTAAAAAGAGCTCCAGTTAAAAGGTAATTAGTGCTAAGTATTACTGATCACCACTTGCTCATGAGGTATTACAAGATAATAGGACTGAGATGCAAATTCTTTTGACACTAAAATTGCTCCCAGCTTGTTTAGTTTGAATTCCTATGAGATCATAACATTATCTTGTCCATCAGAAGGGGAAAAAAAGTAAGTTGTAGTTGTTCTTGGCACTAGTACAATTCTATATATAAAGCAATTCTAGCTGAATATACTGCAAAGCAAAATGGATCTGTGCCAACAAGTTGAAGTCAGTTTGTTGGGCTGACATTATCTGATGTACAGATCAGTTGTTACTGATGTGTAACTAGCAATAAAATACCACTGGATACTACCCACTTTCCTTGCTGGATACTTATGTACCACCTCTTATTGAGTTAGGAAGATATTGGGTCAAACATTCATTGAGTCCAGTCCAATTTATTATTTTATTTACAACTCTTGCACAAGGTCCCATTTCTATTGCATGTTAAATGAGCCAAAATATTTAGTTTGCTTGGAGCTACTGCTCTCATAGTTTGTAAAACTTTAACCCTGAACTGGCAAACTGTATCTAAACACCCACTGGTTGCATCTAGACTAGCAAGATTTTGCACAAAAACTTGCCAGCTGTCTACACTGGCCGCTTGAATTTGCGCAAGAGCACTGACGTTCTAATGTAAGAATTCAGTGCTTCTTGCGCAAATACTTTGACGCTCCCGCTCAGGGATACGCCCTCTTGTGCAAGTATTCTTGCGCAAGAGGGCCAGTGTAGACAGGCACCTTAATTTTTTGTGCAAGAAAGCCCGATGGCTAAAATGGCCATCGGAGCTTTCTTGCGCAAAAGCGCGTCTAGATTAGCACGGATGCTTTTGCGCAAAAGCACTTTTTGCGCAAAAGCATCCGTGCCAATCTAGACACTTTTTTGCGGAAATACTTTTAACGGAAAAACTTTTCCATTAAAAGTACTTTCACAAAATCATGCCAGTCTAGACGCAGCCACTAAGTATTAATCCCTATTCCTCTACAAGGGAGGGATGTAAACTTCTGAAAGACGAGAGAAGTACCACACTGGCACCGTGTAACTTTACTGTGAAGGGAAACAAGACTCACAGCCCACATTTTGTGAGGTCTAATACAGGAAACATCCAAATTGCGATTGCCTGAGTTGCAACCCCTTGCACTTCTGCACTTTAAAAAATAGTTGTAAGGGGCTGAAAACCCCTGACTTACATCCTTGGCCTGTATTTATGATGGCGTACAACGCCTATTGTCAATGAGGGTTCGAGTTACGACGCCCCCGACTTGCGACGCTTCCCCGGGAACCAATCGCTTTGCAAGTCAGGGGTCACCTGTATATGCCTTTTGGTGAAGTCAGCTTAATAATTTTTAGTTTTGTAGATGCCTAAGAGGAGAACTATGCTGGAATTTGCAAGCTTTTAGGATTGTAACAGGACAAATCTAGGGGACTTTGTAAAATGACTCATTTACCTGCTTTTTAGAACTTCAGATATATTTCTGTTCAAATGCAACTACTAAATAGTGTATTTTAAAAACACAGGTTACCCAAACTTAACCCAATCAAAGAGGTGTAAAAACTGCCATGTTTAACTTGCACAAAACAAAGCAGGTAGCAGCAGTCTCTTGAAAGATAGAAAAACATGGTGTTCTATCCATCTGTGTCCTTAATATGGAGATACAGTTTGTGGTTACAGCAGGGCCTGAGACTTAGGAGATCCAGGATCAGTTCCCAGCATTGTCACAAACACTGGTGTGACCTTGGGCAAGTCACCCCATCTTTCTGTGCAGATGATACTACTTTCCAACCTTACAAAGATGATTTATTAAGGTTTGTAATACTCCAGTGATAGGGACAGTATGGGTGGGATTTTCAAAAGCCTGGGCCTAATTGTGCTCTCACAAGAAGCCAATGGTCTTATTGATTTCAATGGTAGCAGTTTAGCCCAGTGCTAAGCACTTTTGTGACGACCACAATATAAGTACACACACAGGTCACCAGCACATATTACTGTATCTTGATCCAAGCGGAGGTTACTCAGATCATGATGAGACAGGTGGTCCTCAAAACCCAAGGATGTGTTAAAGATAAGGGAAGCCACATGATGCTTTGTTGAACTCAGTGAGCCAACATTTGGGGGTGTACTCCAGCCACCTCTTTTTAAAAATGACTAGAAGGAAGCTCAGTTATTTGTTAGCATTGTCTTCACAGCCATCTAGACAATTATACTACTAAGTAAATCATCATAAATACCTAGCTCTTATATAAAACCTTTTATTCACAGACCTCAAAGCCCTTTACAAAGAGGGTCAGTAACATTTACAAGCGGGGAAAACTAAGGGGCTGGAAGGAAAAGTGACTTGCCCAACGTCATCCAGCAAACCAGTGACAGAGGAAACCAAGCCTTTTGAAACCATCTGGTGGTCTACCTGCTAGACTGCACTGCCATCATAAACATGAATTATGCTGGCAGAGCTACTTAGTACAGATTAGGGATGTAACAGTATAGTATACTATCCAATATAATTTTTCACTGTCAACTAAGCCTGACAGCAAACTGATTTTGGAGATCAAAATAAAGCGGTGGGGGAGAAGGTTTCCTTCATTAATGATCCTTGCTGGCTCAAGACAGTCTTGGAGGGTGGCACCTTACTGACTGTGTAAGTATTTAAAATTATTTATTAGACAAGTGCATCCACATTTTGCCCTTTAATTAAAAATGAAACTGCATTCATTTTAGCAAATGTGCACCTCAAAAGGCATTTCACATGGATTTTGGAATGATTAAGTTAAAAAAATGCTACAAATATTCACTATAAATTAATCTTAAGAAAATAAAAGATTTATCAAACATGGACTTCATACATGGCTTTCCAAGCAAATACGTACACTGTATATTCCACAGCTTAGGACTTATTAGTCATTCTGGGCATTTCTTTCCCACCTGCCTAATAATTTCACCTGTGTACTTTGAATTTGTTCTATTGCAGATTAGCTGATCAAATGTGATGAAGTTACCAATTCCTATTGAAGTTCTCATCTTTCATAGCTTTTATCAGCCAGTCCCTTTCCTTCTCCTCATCGGAGTCACTCACATCACTAGGATCTGCAGCCAGGAGACGAGAATAATTAATTTTTTTCTGCCGAGGCAATTTAGATTGGACAATCAGGAACAAGATTAACCAGAGTGCCAAACTTACAGAGCATGCTCTGTACAGAACTGCCAATCCAAAATTACTCGCAACAAATCCCCCTGCAAAGCTTCCCAGGCTAGTTCCACAGCCATATGAGAGGCCCTGGAGGACGACGTGCAGAGATCTCTCTGTCCCAGGACTGGCTACATCGTCAACTAACATATTAATTGCCCACCATAAGGCACCATTACTGAAGGCACACAAAATCTGAATAGGCAGAACTGACCATGCATTCCATATGAATGAATAGTATAGAAGCTGTGCTGAAAGGCAGCTTAAACTCAGTGCAACAGTACCACTACTTGAGAGAGCTCTTAGCAGCTTGCTTTTGCAGGTATAAAGCAGAATTTCAGCAATCAGTCCAATAGCTACCGATAGACCCATGTATATTTCACTGCTGCCTTGGTCTTGCATTTGCCAGAAGAGAAAATTCTGCACAGTAGAGCCAATGACTCCTGTAAGGAAGACGGTGACAGCAGACAGAATTGTTCGGCCATCACTTCCAATAAGGTTCAGAGCTTTGACAGTTTTGTTCACATGCTCTGTTTTCTTGGAAACATGGATAGGAAGAAAGACACTGGTGAGCAACGTGAGTGTGATCAGTACAGCATAGCCATAGAAGTGTACAGAGAGACGAGAGATTTTAGCACTGAGGAAGCAGTTCAACTGATCCACAAATATGGTGACACCACAGACTCCTCCAGACGCCCCCAAATAACTCCAAATCCAAAGCTTCCCATATCTGTCAGTTGCATCAACAAAGTCAAGATATTCATAAAGGCTGTCATCAACCATCCATTCGAGAGGTGCAGCCAACAGCTCCCAAAACACAACAGCGCCTAGCACCATGAGAAAAATCTGGTGCTCACGGTCAAGAAAGTTAAAACCTTGTAAAAGCTCCAAGTCGACATCCTGAACTTTTTCCCAGCGACTTGACAGATTTTCAGAAACATAAGAAGCTCCACTAATAGGATGCTGGTTTGTTTGAAATAAAGAAAACTCAGCAGTTCCACCAACTGAAAGGTTTTTCTCGGGGTTACCATTCACATTCAGCCCAATCTCTGGAGTTTTGGTTTCCTTCTTAAACCTAGGGATTGGCGTTTCATTTGAAGTGAGTGTCTCAAGTTCTTGTATCATCTGGTTAATTACATTCACAGAAGAAGCTATCTTGCCAGAAGGCCTATTACTATAATAGTCTGCAGTTGTACCCACTTCACCAATTCCTTCATCATTCTTTTCCCATGCATCTGTAAAGGTAAACATTTCTTGGAAAGCTGAACTTATCAGTGGTTTTGCACTAGTCACCAAAACATTTGTAGATGGTCTTAGTGTTTCTGCAGACACCATTTCTTTATTGGTAACTGTACTGGGATGTACAGCACTCGGATTGTTCAGTCGCAGATCAGGCACCTCTACTGCATTCGCGAAGCTGCTCGATTGCTGGCTTATATTACAATATTTGTACATGACGTCCTTGCTCAAGGGTGGGACAAGTGTAAGCAGCAAGCCTGTTCCTACTGAACACAGCAAAGATCCAGTAATGAGAACTTTTCTTTTACTGTGGCTCCTTGTAAAGTAGGAGCAGAGTGGTGCCCAGAGAGATGATATTAAATGCTTAATTCCTATGATAATACCTACTAAAGGGGCAGTTAACCCCAACTGCCGAAAGTAAAGAGTTAAAAATGGAATTACACAGGCATTTCCTGCACTGTAAAGAAAATGGAAGAGGCTGGCAACAGCCAGCGCTTTGTTAACATCCCACTGTTTATTTGTACTCATGGCTTCAGTTGCATACTTTCCGAATGGGACCTGAAAATGAATAACAAAAACAAACCCTTTTTGAGTATTTCTTAAACAACAGGTAAGATGTTAGAAGAGAAAGTCAAATATTTTACTACTTATAGCCTGGCAGTTCAAATGCCAAGCTCCAAAATGTTTACATTAAAATATTTTAAAATTAAGTTAGTTCACAAAAAGATTAGACTCATATCAAGTGGAGCTGCATCTGATGAAGTGTCTTTAAGTTACAGACATCAGGGATAACAAGTAGTCCTGTGGCACCTTAGAGACTAATAAATATATATATATAGGATCATGAGCTTTCATGGGCAAAACCCACTTCTTCAGATCAGCTGGAAGGTGGACTGGAAATATCAGGAACCCAGAATTTATAACAGAAAAAGAAGGGACAAAAAAAAGTTACTTGTCAATTGTAGTACTTGTGCTAATGAGACTGAGTGGACTGGAAGTGTTAAATGCACAGAAGGCTAGCTTTATAATGCAACATCCGGTTAATGTTTTTGTTCAAGCCTAGGGAATTTGTGTCAAATTTGCCTATAAAGGTCAATTCTGTACTGTCTCTGTAATTGGCTTGTGAAATTCCTTTGTAGACCAATGGCTACTTTTAAATTAATTAATGAGTGGGAGGGGCAGGATTTCCTCTTCCTCTGCATGGCTCTTGGGGGAAGATCAGACTCAGCTCTGGGTACCTCTCCCCACACCAGGCCAGTTCCCAGGGCAATGCAGAAGTGAGGGTGGCAATCCCATGACTCTCTACTCCAACACATAAATATACAAGAGCTTTGGACATCCTGCAGCCCGCTTTTCAGTCAGGAACCCTATGGTTACAGACCATCGAATTTCAGATGTAAACATCTGAAATTAAGTTTACTAAGCTATGACTATAAAACAGACCAAAATGAACCATGAATTGTGGTAGTGCCCTAGAAATAGACATTGATGGACCTGTCCTCCATTAAATTACCTAATTCTTTTTGGCCTTCATATTCTCCCCTGGCAATGAGTTTCACTGGTTGATTGTGTATTGTGTGAAGTAGTAATTGATATTTTAACATCTGAAATTAAGTTTACTAAGCTATGACTATAAAACAGACCAAAATGAACCATGAATTGTGGTAGTGCCCTAGAAATAGACATTGATGGACCTGTCCTCCATTAAATTACCTAATTCTTTTTGGCCTTCATATTCTCCCCTGGCAATGAGTTTCACTGGTTGATTGTGTATTGTGTGAAGTAGTAATTGATATTTT